ATAATCACCATTAAACAATTTTAAAAAACAAACAAATAATCAATAAATATTTATAGAATATTTTCATCCATAACAACATTTTAAAAAAATGCTTACTTTCAATAGTGAATTTTTTTGCGGATTATTAATTGACTCTTGCTTGGTTTCTTACTTCACTATAAAACTTACAAAAATCAATCCTATATTATAAATCAAAAATTGATCAAATAATCGATAAAATAGAACCAAGAAGGAAACAATTTAAAAATAAAACAAGCCAACTTACTAGTGATAAACAATATTCACAAAAAAAATAGAAAATATATGGGATTTCAAACAATTTTTTGACAAAAATACTGGGTTGAATCCTGATTTTTCATTTAATGAATGGTCATTGAAATTCCCAATTACTAGGAGATGGAAAAGGTGTTGCTGCTTCCACAATAAAAAACTTCTATCAACAAAAAACAAATCCTAGAAGAAAAACGATAGAAGCAATCCAACAGTGGGTTGATAAAGGAATAAATGAAGTGGAAAGGAAAGTTGACGAAGATAACGAGAGCAAAGAAGATAGATACAAATATTATTATAATTATTATTTGTAGTAATAGCAGTAGTAATAGCGAAAGTTAGATTTTTGTAACGATCTAATAAAAATTTTTTTCTTAAAAAATTAATTTTTAAATTTTTACACCTTAAAAATGACAACGATCGAAAATCAATTAGACATAGCAAATGCGAATTTAAAAATTGTAGAAGAAAGGTCGAAGGAATGGGAAGAGGAATTGGAGGAGGAGTTGATGGATGGGAAATGGAGTGGTGGATGATGCGGGAAGAACGAAGGAATAATTTAGAAAAAGAAAAAGAGGAGTTGAAGGTAATGAAGGTGAAATGGAAGAATCAGGTTATAAATTGCAGAATGATTTAGTCAAAATTAATAAGGAAAAAGGTATCAAACAAAAATTATTTTCCATTCCATTTCGTTTATTTATTCATTCATTTGAGTGATCATTATTTGATATACTGACTGAACGTTGATTAATTATATTTCCCTTTGGTTATTTTTTATCCCATCTTCTAATTATTGCCTGAATTAACTTTTGAATTATCTTGTTCATCCTTTTTCACCAAGAATCAGGTAAGAACAACTTTTATTAGAAAATAGCTGGAAATACTTGCATACATGTCACAACATTAAACATTTCATTTGTTTATTATTGGAAACTAGAAAAGTATCAGCCAGATTGAAATTGAATAAAACCAGTACAACCAAGTCAATGCCAAAGTGAAAATAAGATT